GAGTCTTTGTCAAGATTCTGTCATTCACCTCCTGCAAGGGATTTTTCTTTTCGTTTCCCTTAGTTGTGACTCATTTTCCCTTTAATATGTTTTGGCAGGACTTCTTTTAGTAAACTAGTGAAAATAGTTTCCAGCATGTTAGCAATCTATGCAATTCTTGTCAAGTCAGTGTTTTTTTAATGGTTTGGATTGACCTGACTTAGCCCTAAGCATACACAATCAATCAAGATCAAACTTTACACCGCATACAACTTACTCATTTTTAATAACTTGTGCAGTGGAATATTTTGCCTGTTCTGACATGTCACAGGCTCACACTGAAAGGCAATAGCTTGTTCAGCTTTCTCTAATCCATTACAACACTTTCATTTCACTCTTCTCTTCATAGAAGTCAACTGGATATATTAGAACTTAAAGTGGATTTTGATGCCATAATGTATCTTCATGATAAGTGTCTCTTAACATACAACCTCTCTGAGTGCAGCAAATTCCTAAATTACATCCCAGTGATTACTGTTACTTTCATTTTTTATTTCCCGTGTGACTTAAGATAGCTATTGTTCTGATCCACCTTGTGACCTGAACATCGATTTTTTATTAGGATGTAGATCTATTCTCAATGCTCATAAAAAATACATGTTCTTGCTTAGTTGTCCCCATATGGCAGTTCATTTATAAGCAGACCAAATTCTGTAAAGTCAATGATACAGCTGTTCCAGAACAGGAATTTTTAAAGGATCTAATACATGATACTGGAACAAGTTGAAAAGTGTCTAGAAGAACACTGGATCCAAACCTAGGCTCAGATGTAAACACCTCACCTCTGTCAAACTGATTCAGAATCCCATTTTACTCCGGGGAAAAGCTGAGTTTTGCAAAAAAAAAAAAAAAAAAAAAAAGGTGAGCCCAATCTCTTTGCCCCTTCCAGTGACTGCTCTGATAGTCCCATTTGGAGAAATATTTAGGAAAAAAAAAAAAAAAAAAAAAAGGTTGATATCCGCTCTTGTTCCTGCACTGTTGCATGTACTTGGAGAACATCCCACTGTCTGTCACTGCAGAGAGGGCACCTAATTTAACGCCTGCTCAGGTTACGCAGACTGGCACTGTAAGACCGATATTGTAACAATAGTTTGAGAGTGTTCATGAAAGCCACCACTGTCAGCCATCATCATCTTTACACCAGCGTTCACTCCAGTAGGTTTTATGGGAACTCAATCACATTAGAGGCTAAAATACCACCAATCCAGGTTTTAAGAGTAGCATTTGATTCTCTAACCAGGTACATATTCCTTTTACTAGAGCTTTAGTGTCTACATGCTACATTACTTCTCAAATCTGTTTTTAATTGAAGTTGGTCTTGTAATGCAGTAACATGTGCATTGTTTGATAAATGTGGATTGTAGTAAATGCCCTTACGCCAGCTCTTTAAAAGTAAAGTATGTTTTATAAATGTTCTTCACAAGTAGCAATATTTTCTCATTTCATAGAACAACAAGTCACTGGTTTCTTTCAGAGATGGAGTATTTCCCTGTAGACAGTACGTTGATCCTAACAGATTTCCACCTCTTTTCAGAGCTTTCAAAGAACAGCTATTACCATTCAATTATCATGCTTCATTAAATAAGTCAGAACCTATATATTACACGCTTCTAGTTAAAAAAGGTTCAGTAAGCTTGTTTCTGGAATATAATACAGTGTTTGTTTAGAGAAATCTGGCACAATAAGTGTATCACCACACAGCATTGCTATAACAGTCTGCTGTTAAGAAAACACTAAGTGAAAATTGGATTCCAGTGTCCTTGTTTATTACATCTGTCTACTGATACAAGGCCTGGCCCAAACTCTGTTGGGATCAGTGGGAAGACTCCAAGGGACTTTGAACAAGGCTCATAAATAAAAGATGCCATATTACACAAAGAACTGCAATTTTGGTAATTGTTTTGCTCCCAAAGTGGAAGGAGCTGAACCAACATAACACTGGAAATGGAGAGCTGTGTATTGTCTTCCTCTGTGCAGAGGACTCATATACTACACCCAGGCCTGAGTGCTGATATATCTGGTCTCACCAGTACACCAACTGTCACATCCTGTTCCTCCACATTAAAGAGAGTATGACTGATAGGTTCCGAGACATTTACCAGGCTTTGAAAAAGACATTTCTTTACCTTCCTTGAACATGCAGCGTGCAAAACGCCAGCTGCAGGGCAATGCTTCCTTGCTCAGTCAGAGCTCATAGATCCTGCTGCTTCTTGAGTCAGAGCTGGAACCGTACTGCGAAGGCCAAGCTGAGGACAGACTGTCTGAATGTCCTCATACTGCATGCATCCTAAAAGTGAGCAGGAGACATTCATTTGCAATCTGGCAGCTTTCAGAGGTGTGCACATTAATGCATTTCTCATGACAACAGATAACCCAAACCAAAGGAAGGTAAAACGTCTGTGTTTGTAGCTCATCTGAAGGTATAGACACAGCATGTGACAATGGGCCATTAGCATCCTAATCCATCCTCTCTCTGGAGACCTCTGTGTCACTCTACAAGAAAAGATGGGGGCATTTGCAAGTAACTGCACATTTTCTCCTGAACAAAAGCCTAATTATTGCTGACCAGAGGGAAAAATGCAACCTCTGTCCATCACAGCCTGTTTCAGCATATCTCTTGGCACTGAAGCAGCTAAACCACTAGGCTATCTAGCAGGAAGCTGCAAACGATTTTCAGAACTTGAAGTTTGGCAGGTACTTCACCATGGAAATATAAATATCCTTCCATTGCTGATAAGCATTCAGCGTTCTCACGTTACACCAGAATGCGACTAGCTTTCGACTCCTACAGATCTTAGGGTGACACGCAATTTTAGTACAAAAACACTAGGCACTGTGTAAAACTTAATTGCCTCTGTGTGTTGTGAATCCAAGGACTGATTTTCAGTCGGTGTTTGCAGGCACAGCTCAGTGACTTCTCTCTCTCTCTCTGCCCTGGTTCCTTATCAGACAAAAGGATGATGATAACATTCAATTTTCCCATTCTTTCCTTCTCTTTCCCCAGCCCATCTTTAGTGTGTCTCATGTATTTAGTCTGTTTTTTTAAGGAGAAAGCTCTGCTGTTTGAAGCTGGAAAAGGATCTGGTGCTGTTATCTGTGATGTTCAGAGCTGTAAAAGGCTAGTTTGAAATCTGGAACAGCGCAACAGCACTGCTGAGAGCAAAACCTGTGGGGCAAAGGAAAACCTGCTATCTTCACTTCAGAGAAAAGGAAATAAAGAGCCACGGCGCAACTGAGCAGGGTATTTCAGCATCTGAATAATCTCATAGAGGGTAACAGGATAATAGTTGCGATTCAGTGTCTTGCCTAACTAGATCGCCAAGATTTTACCTGAAATCATAAAAGAAAATTGAGAGAGAGCCAGGAAGTGGGTCCATGATTTCTGCATCTCACTCCAAAGCCTTCATTAAAGGTCACTTCCCACCACTACTTAGAGGTTATTAGTTTTCACCTTGTATAGTCCTTCACAACTGTTACAAGTGATGAGCAATGACAGTTTTTGTATATGTGTCTGCATATAAATACACACATATATATATACACACTCCCTCACATCTGAATACTATGCCAAAGAAATTATTTTTCACATCATTTCTAGTGTCATCTTTGATTAATTTTCATCTCTTTTCTCATTATGGCTCATCCCTCATTTTAAAGGTGTCCTTCAACCAGGACACTAGGAGAGAACTGAGAAGTGAAAACAAACAAGGAATAATCTAAAGGTAGAGTCCTGGAAAATGTTCTGAACAGTAGCAGCACCTCTGGCTTAACACGCCTATCTCCAAATTGCTTCTTGCTACGTACGATTTCTTCTTTAGTGAATTAGCTTCACCCAGAATTGATCCATTGCATCCCAATGGCCAAACATATCCTCTTACATCTTATTAATCAAAAAATAAAGGTACATATCCATAAGTCTCTGAGAATAACAATGGGGCATATGACAGCCAGACAGACCCAAAATACACAGAAACGTAAACATCCATGTGCAATTTATCCACTTTCTTCCCCTTCCCCCCTTCTCTCAGCATGAGGTGTTTGGGGGGGGGAAGGGGGCTACACATCTGAAGGTTAAGCAAGTCCTTTATTGTTTCCTAGTTCAAGCGCCATAACCAAAGCAGCAATAAAATGGTTGCAGGGAAACATTCACAGTTCTGCAGCCCATAGGCTCTCCCTTCTGCCAAATTACCGGAGGATACCCTTTGTGAAGGAGGCTGTAAGTCACAGACAGAACTCAGTCCAATATCACTATTCAAATAGTCTGAAAACATTAACAGAACCCATTTGGGGAGATATTTCATCTTAAGGTATGACGACAAGGTCAGTAGCACTTAAAGGTATCCTCGAGCCGGGGGTCGGCCCTTTCTGCATGTTCTAGTTCAAGACTGCTTCTGCGTAACATCGGCCCCCACGCCCCACTCCTGTGCCCTTGAAACCCACCTCGAGACCTGTGAGGTTCACACATTGCCTTGAAATCCCGCTCTGTGACATGGCTAATACATCTTCAAGGGATTCCAGCTTTCCGCTACATGATGGTAAGCATTTTGACAGTCTGACCCACCGCCTAACCCAGGCGGATTTCTTTTCTATATAACATCCTATAATGGGTCATCATCTTGGAATCTGACACAAGGATACTGCTGACCTGGACACATGTCCTTGAAATCCACAGTCCAACTGACAGCTGTTGCAACATATTATAAGTATTTTTTAAAACAAGGTCAGTCAGTATGTTATACCACACCTATTATATAAATGGAAAATCAAAGTGCATAAAGCTGCTTAACTTCCTTCAAGACATGCCTCAGTTATAGCATTTGAAACATTAGACATGACCGCAGCTTATTGACAAGAATACATCACTTTGGTTAGAAAACGGTTTTCCACGCTTGGATGTCGACTGTAGAGAACTCGGAAGACTTAATAAGAAGTAGGCCATGTACAAGACAGACAAAAAAGATAAGGTGGTCCTAAATGTTTTTCTCTTAAATAAATGTTAGCAAGCCTTTGATTAGCCAAGGCTGAGGTGCACTGCCCTCACAGTGTCTCCCTGTGGAGAGTCCTCTGCTCACTACCATTGGGACCATAGATGACCATCTTTGACTCACCAGAAGAAATATTTAAAAGCTACTTTACAACCAGTGCTTCAGGATTCTTTTAGTCCACGTGGAGTATAAGAATATTTATATATATATAAAATTACTCAGGCTAGTTAATCATGAAAGGGCTGCCCCTCCCCCACCCCCAATAATGAACAACATCTCCCAAGACTACCGAAAGGCTTTAAAAACAAGATGTCTTTCAAGAGGAACAATCTATGACTAATTAAAGCCAACTCTAAGCGCTATTCCCGAAACAGAGTCAGTAAGAGAAATCTTTTAGTCAGTAATAAAAATCTTTTGTCATAATCACGTGAGTCAATAGTCTGGATCCCATTGCAAAGAACTGGCTGACTGGCAGCAAACGCGTTCTTTCCAAGATGTGTATTCACAGTGAACTGAATAAGGAATTGGATTGCACCACTATTCATTTTTTGCAAACATATTTTTGGAATAATTCGGTAATTAAATATAAAATAATCCCACACTGGCAGGAGAACGTGACATCCAAGAGGAATAATGAAAAGAACATCCTTCTTTTTGTTGAAAATCTCTTCCACTTTTTGGTCAAAAAGACAGGTTGCAATGAAAATTTTTATCAGAAATGTAATGCTCTGACCAGCTTTATAAATGGTAAAGAGGAAAACTGTCATCACTCAACGGTATAGGTGGTTGCTCAGAAAATGAGCACTTGCCTTTAAGCAGGTAGGTAGCCTGAGTGTGTGACTGTACAACAAGGAAACAGTATGTTCCTTCCCTAATACAAAATTAAACATCATGAAACTCAGAGAGTGATAGATTTTGCCCCACAAGGGATTAGCCTCAGTAATACAGAAACAAAAACGCTTGTGTTTTGCTATCATGCCATGTTTTAATAGCTGGGAAATGCATCATCTTTTCTCAAATGAGTAGATTAGATCAGGACAATATTCTCCCTCTCTGCTCCAAGCACACTTTTTTGTTTGGAAAAAAAGGAAACTTTTTTGCCACGGAAATTTTCCCTTTTGATTAAATTTCCCCTCTCTACTCCTATTCTCCCTTTTATTTTGTTTTCTGGGTCATCTTCTCTTGCTTAACTTTTTTTGTCCTACACATTATTTTTCATGTGTGGGTGTGTGTGTAGAAGGAGAAAAAAAGAGAGAGAAGGTGGGAAATCATCCTATAAAGAATGACTGTTGGAAATATGTTGAGTTTCACTGTATGCTTAGAAACATGAGAATTTAACAAACCATTAAGATCAGCTAAATTGGTTGAAAAGTCATTTTCATGGGGGAAAAAAAAGTTTTTCTATTTTGTTGGGAATCTACTAAGAATTGGTTTAAGTCCTTAGTCCTTTCTCCTCTCTTACTGTGCCTAAATTGTAACAGGAAGTTAATCCCTTGCTGCAAATTAAAGCCACTGCTCGGTGTAAAGAACTCTTTATGGAGAAGAAAAAATAAGCAAACCCAAGTACTTTCTAAGCTACTCTCTATGGTACTTTTATATGCCATACTGACAAAAGGGAGAAACATGCTGCCTACCACGTGCTGGGTCTGCAAACTCCTTAGCCATCCGCACAGAGAACGCGCGTGAGGGCACTCTGCAATCCTAACCACGGCTTTCAAACAGCGCAGAGGCCTTTCCCAGCATCAGCACACATCTGTGAGCCTAGCACTGGGCTAATCCTGTCTCAATGAACTGACACTTTACGTTTATGCACATCTACCTTACAGATGCACAAAGAATAAAGATCACATGGTACCAGCACAATTATCCAGCATGCTGGGATGAGTCAGTGGAAAATAGGTTGTCGTTTTTACTTTCAGGATGAGCCCCTTGCTGCTTCGGCAAGGAAGAATCATTTGTTATGGTGCTCAGGTTGGCCCACTTGCAGAGCATGCTCTTTTCCAGCTCACCTAAAGAGCACTGCAAGTTTCTACGTGGAAATCTGAAACGGCTACGGGGAGTCAAAGATAGGCAGCTGGAGACAGGAAGCACTGCAGCAGAACCCACACGGGCTGCGTCCTCTCCCGTGCAGGGGCACATCTCTGGAGGAGCTGCAGCTGCTCAGATCACCCAACCGACTCTCTCCACAGGCCAGTGGTCCATGTGATGCTGAGATCCACCCTGCAGCTCTAATCCTACAGCAACCTTGTGAAGGGCATGCACAACACTATCATAGCAGCTGGGACACTGGGAGCGACCTTTGTGTCAGTGCTGACACAATGACCTGTGTGAGACCAGTGTCACAGAGCAAACCTGGCCCCGGGAGCTGGAAGGAAACGATTGCCCCAAGTTAACTGATTTCAAGGATTGGTTTATAAACAGGAGGGAAGACAGGGCAGAGATCTAAACCAATGGATGCTTTTCTGGAAAGACCCAGGCGTAAATCAACCCGCAGCACCACATCTGCTACCGAATACAAGTTAATTTCTTAATACTAGCATAAACAAGGATCAAGAAAGTTATACTATAGAAAGACTAGTGTAATGAGAGAATCTGTCCCATGATTTATGCATTTTGCAGATGTATTTCAATGCTTACATTTGCATTACCATCCAATGAAAAATTTATGACCGTTAAACTTATCCTGTATGTCATAATTAAACATAAACAATCATTTCTAAATAACTGTTTATCATATTGCATATTCAATTGAGCAATTAATCTCAATGACTTTTTCTCCTTGTAAATAAATATAGGAGGTAACATCTTTTGTCGTAATGCATTCATAACTGTATCCAGAGGAAGATGAAGAGTCAAACTGACATTTCAAGAGAGTGGTTACCTGCTTAATAAATAGATCGGAATTCCTGTCATTTTCAAATGGATGCCTTGTTCTCTTGCTAACTATTTGTTCTGAGAAAAGCCTCCGAGAGAGATTTATAGGACAATGGCTGTTTAAACATTAATCTTAAAACAGAGACGGAAGCAGTTTGCTAACAGAATTTTACCAAAGGACTTGAGACCTGAGAAGGGGACATTTATGAGCTAAACCCTGCACCCCCATCCCCAATCCAGTGGTCCAAGATCTATAACTAGGCATTACTCAGTTCATGCTCTTTTCCACAGACAAGAACCTTCCTTCTCCCATGTTTTGCTAATACGACTTTCAAGTGTCAGTGAATGGTAGCACATCCTGCAGAAAAGGCCTTTGTCTGCAGAACACGCAAACAGCAACATGTGCCTTCACATATTTGATCAACTCTCTAATAAAGAATAGGAGAATGGATATACTTGGAAAGCTTAAAGGAGAACTGGCAGCGTAAAGAGGCCTTAACATAAATGAGGATAAACTCCTGTACACATACCTATTACTGGGCAGATCTGCCTTTGTAAGCGCAAACACCATTTCTGTTCACAGAGTCTAGGCCAGTCAGCAGTGCAATGACCTCTTTGCATGTGCAAACAAGAGATGTTGTTTGGAGCTGTTAACTGAGAAGCTGGCCCATGTTGTCTTATTCTGTTTATTCTTATTGAGTCAATAGCACTTTAAGAAGTGTATCTTTAGGATTCAGCAGCAGCCTGCTTCCTTTCAGGCATAAAAAATGAAATAGTGATATACTGATAGATTCTGATTGGTAGATGGTTTCAAATAGGAAAAGCATTTGTCCTGAGAACAAGGCGAATAAAAAACCTAATGGGATTCAGTAGTGCAATACAAATAACAGTGTCCCTTTACATTAACAGTAACACATACTGCACTCTCTCTGGGTCGCTGTTCTCTTGAATACTCCACTAGGAAGCTTTTTGTAAATAAGATGTCTCTCTCAATGTCCTCATCCAAACACCATATTAATCGCTCTTTAAGAATGCATGGTCTCAGGGAATAAGGATTATACTTGGTGTGAAGAAGACACAGCTTCTAATTTTAGCTTTGCTATTAGCTCTTATGTGACTTTCAGCAAGCCCATGCAGTTGCAGTACATCTAAAGCTGAGACCATAACACTCATCTGCACAGGGCTGCTGTGGATGTTAGCGAAGATGTCGCCAAGGACAGGAAGTTACCAGGTACCGCAGAAGAGTGGGTATTATCATCACTGTTAAACTATCACAAACCCCTTGGTGTTACACTCGGCACAGGAACACCCTGTGAGGCAGGAGCTGCTTATCGCCTAAACTGAAGATACGAGCTACAACAAGTGGCTGTAAACAAAGAGCAGGCAGGAGAAAGAAGGTAGCTGTTTATTGGGCCTTTGGGCTCTGTAGCCCTGTGTGAGAAAATATAAAGGAGACTGAAGGGTACTTGATAACTCAAGAGACTGCTAATTGGCTATGAAGGATTTCTCCTCTAGATTACTGGTTTCAATCGTCCCCAGGTTGGTACTAGTGGCTGGAAGCTATTTCCATCAAGAGACCTATGTGAACAAAGTTGAATGATTGTCCCAGCCTGGCTCCTAGCAGACTGATTCTTGCTTCCTGCAAACTCCCATTACTACTTAGGCAGAGAAGGAAAAGACTGGAAATGCCACTGAAGAATTAACCATCCTCTCGTGCTCAGCCACACAGGGTCAAATTTGTTTCATGCACGCAGGCAAGGTAGAGAACGCTTGCAATGAGACCACGCATGTCCATCTTTTCCAACGGCTAGAAGATTTCAGCTCTCAGGGCTGTCAGCTTGCCAGCTTTCACAACTGAATTCCCTAACAAAATCAACTTCTTTAGAAGTGCTTCATTTTGCTTATGTTAATTTTTCTGCTAGCACTAATGAGTCTCATATTCACAGTTGTTTATTTTCAGGGTGTTTACCCAATCTTTGCTGTAAACACATTTTCACAGGTCAAAAGCATAAGATGAAAACCACCAAAAATATTTGTACCATGAAGATTTTCACTTCTACAGTAAACTTGATCAAAAAAAAACGTTTGAGAGAAATAGAAGTTGCAGTAAGAAAACTGCTGCTATTCCAATACCCCTGCTACACTCACAAGAGGCCTATCCCTCTTGCTAGTTCCATACTGATTTAAAATCGGTATTTTACAAGAAAAGAAAGATAGTATCATTAATGATTTGTCTTCCTTTCTTTCAGCAGCCCAAATTGTCTGCTAAAACCCTCTCTGCCTAAACAGAGGAGGTAAACATCTGGGGTAACTGCACCATTGACTCCACAGACTCCCTCTGAGACCTGGGCCCTTAGGCCCGGATCCTCAAGGGTGCTTAGGCCACAGCTCCTACTTATTTCAACTCTTTCAAAGTCTCCTAGTGGCCTCACTCAGCATGGGACTGCACTACTGCTGTGTACTGACCCACAGCATAAAACGCTTACCACTCTCGTTTAAGACAAGATCCTTAGGAGCTAAACCAGAACGCGAATGAGGTAGAGGTTCTATGGCCCATGTGTTTGTAAGAGCCAGAACTGTAGTCCTGCGTGCCTCCATGACAATATACATCAAATACAATTTTAAGAGGTCTCAATTGCAAACACTTTCATCTAATTCCTGGTAGACACAAATTGTGTGTTCATTCTGGTTTAGTATCCATGTTCAATGTTTATTTGCTTTGGAACCTAATTTAGTGATACGCTCCTCCACAGTGCTTGGCACAGTTCACTGAGAACAACCTAAATTGAGGCTGCAATGCACACTGGAGCCACGACAGTGCAGCAGGCTGTACGCCCACAGGTGTCTCTGCCCTTGGGAAGTTTCACTGCAGTCAAACAGCCCCAAGCTCAGAGCCTTCCTTTGAGGACACAGCCTTTGAAGTTTCCACCTCAGATTCACAATGCCAGTTCAAAGGAAGGCTCTTCACACCAAGTATTGACTCCGCTGTAAGATACTGAAGCAGAGAGCGCATTCTCCTGACTATTAAAGAGCATCCTAAAATAACGACCTCTGATAACGTAACAACAACATGCATCTCCCACACAAAGAAAACAAAGCGTTAACAGCTAAGTTGGCCACCACCATCCCACTTAAGATTCCTGCTAAGACATAAATAGCAGAGCACAAAGGCTAAGCATTGAACAGCTGCGAAACTTTCTGAATTCAGGAGCAAATGATATTCAGGTATTTCAAATTACCTCAGAACAGTTTCCTTTAACTTTCTTTTAGAATCCCTTCCATGCCTGGGTAGGAGGTTATACAAGGAGACAGGGAGCTGCATGAGAAAAGAAGGCTCTAGAAAGATATGGTCAACCCCGCTCCGAACTGCACAGATTTAAAGCGCTCCCACTGGAGACTCAAAATTGTGTCAAACAAATGCAACTTGTTGTTCCCCTCCGTCCTGCAGTCCCTAACAAAGTTGTTTTCATGATGTGGTAGCGTCTTAAGCAGCCCTTGTAAGTGGAACCAAATTGGGAAAGTGAGCAGACAACACAGAGAAAATAGATCTCATTTTCTATATATCAGTTTCTATTAGTTTCTAAGATCGGTCTCTCTTGCAAGCAGTTCGTCCATGCTTTGAGCGCATTCAACAAATTGAAACTGATATGTGTCTACTGATAGACTGACACTGTTACTAGAGTTAACTATCAATCACCAACTGAATGAAGCATAATGCAATTTATTAGGTACCAGTCTTACTGGCATTTAAACTGAATCCTGTAAGCAAGCCAGAAGAAAAGCTCTCTCTAATGATTATTTGGTGACAGTTTACGGGGTGTGCCTCCCATATGCATGCAGGTTAGATTGTTAAGAAACTTACAGAAATTAAAATATAGTAGCCTAAATCCTTATGCTAAAGGCCTTTTAAGTACTCTGGTGTTGCACATTTCAAAGTGGGGGGAAATGTCTCCTGGACATAGTGCTTGCGCAGGGACTGTTTTCCGGGTGGTAAAGATTTTGTGTAGTTCTCTCATCGTTGGTATGGTACAGACATGGGCTCAGATACCTCATCTTATCAGCACTCCCAGACGCTCAGAGCAGGTCTGAGAGCGACAACAACATGCAGTCTGCAGCGTCCTCACACCTTCCACAATGCTGGGACTACAAAGCAGGTCCCGTGGCTCTAAGATTGTGTCACCAAGGCCTCACAACCAGGGAACTGTTGTGAAGAGACCAAGAAAGCATCAGATGTTTCCTGCCCTGTGTGGGAGGCAGATAAATTCATGTAAGGGAGCTGGATGAGACACACAGTTAAGCAGCCACGATACCTATCTAGACTGTGTTATCTTGGCAGACAGAACAGATGAAGGCAGGCAAATCCTTTGGGGGCAAGAAAGGTGGTAAACTAAGGTGATGGTATTGGAAAGAATCGGGAAGAGCACAGCCACACGTTTTGTTTCCCAAGGGTCACTATACCAGGCTAGAATACCTAGCATTATTTAAATGGATTTTTCCTGCCCTCCTCCTGCACATACATACACAGCCCCTTCACTCATCCCCCAACTCTCTTCTTGCATCTGCAATGGATCTTTAGGTAAATTGCTTAAAAAAATTACTGTAGTGATTTACCCATCCCTCTTTGCAATTAGATCTAGTGATTAGCAGGTCTTTTAAATTACATTACAGATTCCTCCTAAGAGGAGCAGCCCAGAAAATAGAGAACTGCAGAACCCTGCTTCCTCCTTCCATTTTTCACTGTCATTCTTAGCACCCCTGGGGACTTCCCTGTAACTGCTCTTTATAAAAGGTTATAATTGTCACTACAACAGTTTTCTTCTGTATGTCACCTACCTTGGAAACGGAAGAGTGCGCCTGAGGCTTCTCTCCAAATCACTGTGTCCTGACAATAGAGGAAGTACATTTTGTGAGCGATAGGGAAGAGAATTCACCTTCTAATTGCTCATGAACAACATGTTTCCTTGCTAGCATGTAAACAAGGAAATTTTGCTCTCCTGCTGCATAATATGACATGTGAAAACTAACTTGTAAGGCTGGATTTTTTTTTTCCCCAGGGTAAGCCAATGTTCCAATTATCAGTAAATTGCAAACACTTGAAATGACTCTGCATATTAATTCAAACGGAGTGAATGTTCACTGAATTGCCCAGAACAGTAAACAGCTTTTTGTGGGGTGTGTAAATAATCCCAGGGTGTCTAGGAAATTAGGAAAAGAGATTTGGAAAACTTATTCACCTGGGTGGAGTAAACTTTCCAAAGTAAATTAGTAAAACAAGGGTTATCAATGAAATGGTTATTTTGATTGTTATCGGCTGGATCATATATTTGTGATTAGAAAGGGAATGTTTCCAGAGGGATGTAAACACACCTAAATTTTAACAGAACTTATATTCTTTTCTTTTACATAATTTATTCAGCTTTAATCTTTTTACTCAATATTAATGGCAACATTTAAAATCAAAGCTTCTCCTCATCTCCCCCTCTCACTGTACAATCTGGGTGACGTATCTGTGAAAGCTGGCGAGTTATCACTCAAAAGCCTCCTTGTTAAGGTGGGCATAAAAGCATTGGAAACCTTGCCTGGTGAGCGAGCAGTGAGGCCAGTTTCTCCATGTCTCCACAAATGACATGTGCTAGGCTTAATTCCAGTGCTCAGTAATATACAGTATTGACTGATGCAAATTGCACAGAAGTAAGCGGGAGTCTCCACTGGTTTAGGTGTTGTCAGCCTTTGCCACATGCACTGAGACAGAAGCGCGCGGAGATGCAATGTCTCTGCCCGCTGCGTCCCGGCAGGATCGCCGTCTCCCCAGGCCAGGGTCGTGCTGTTTTCCCTACTGGAGGCAGGTGGTGCCAGGAGGCTGGCAGCTTGCTGCCGCATGTCACTCTGTGGGGCAGGAGCTGCTCACCAGCAGCAGGCAAGAGCGCTGGGGAGAGGGAACCCCCCAACTCTGGGGGCTCCAGATCCGGCCCAAGGGCACAATTTGGGCAGCAGGCTCTAGGAAGGGTGTCAACGCCCTAACTCATGCTCCATCCTACAGCCACAAGGAAAACAGCTCTCCCAACTCTGCTAGCTTAAATACCCCAGCAGAACAACACTTGCTAACCAATGACAAACACCCACCCGAGATGCTTTCTCTTCTCGCTTGGCAAAGCAGCAGCAGGGCTGTTCCCTGGGGCCCACCCTCCTTTGGGCAGCCCCCAGCGTTCGTGAACCAGGGCTCACCTCTCCCAGCAGCTCTGAACACGCAGCTCATGCCACCTTTCAAGGTCTCCTTGGCACAGGTTACTCCTCCAGCGCAAGGCTGTTCAGCTGCTGTCTTTTGTGATGATTTCTTTTTCATCTGGCACAAGACAGACCCGCTGCACAGACTTTTCTCAAACCATGCAAAAGAGGAGGTGCAATCCTAGCTCTGCCGTCTTGATCATTGTCATTCCCCAGCCCTGCTTTCCTGGGCGCTCACATAAAGGAAAAGTGACAGAATAAATACTTTGGTAAGGTAAAATGTAATTCATGGGTTATAGTTTTTTTTTTCTCATGAAAACTGAGTTCTACTGTTCCTCCCAGTTGAGTAGCTATTATTTGTGTCTCTGCTTAACAAAACTGAAGTTTTAATAAAGAGTTTGGGTTTTTTTTTCCCCCCTCACAGTATTTTATTTTTAATCTAGCTCCCTCATCACTGAGCTAATGCACTAATGGACACTTAACCATTAATTAACTTCTGACCTAATGGGCACAGCCAATAAACAAAAGGCTCATAAAAATCAAACTTACTGAGCATCGTTCCTTTTGCTGTTCATTAACTGAAACTATTTACAAGGTTAAACAAATCCCGGGTACAGAGATATATTCATCTTGTATTAATGATGTTACACAGACATTTTGGGACCACAGAAACTCTAGTAATCCAAGGGGAAGAATGGACAGATTAGCGTGGTCACACCCATCAGATCACAGCCTGACGAGCACTCTGAGCTGCACAACTTGGAATTGCCACTGAAAGCCGCTGTCCCACCCATTCCTGACCACAGCTGCGTTGTGCCCCTGTGCTGGCATCTGCACTTGTGTGCTCACACCAGGAAGCACATCATGCAGTTGACGCAACGGAAAAGATCACTTTAATGGCTGGGTTGTTTTTCAGCTGAATCATTTCTCTAAACTTGTTTGTGCAGAATTGCATAAACACTTGTACTGTTTCAAGGGAAGAGATAACATAAAGACAGCAATGAAGAGCCCAGAGCATGTCGAGGGTGCAACTATTTCTCCCAGTAATAGGCCAGGCTTATGTTGCACAAATCCTGCTTCTACCCAACAATCTACAGTTGACCAAGAGGCAGGTTTGCTTCTCATTTAACTCATGTATCTTGACGGATATCACCAGGGAGCTTTGGGAATAGAGGGAAATTTGAGCACAAAATCAGCCCTGCCACTGCAATCTGCTGTCTCAGTGCAGTCTTTGGCACCTGTGCCAAGCATCTTGATTTCAAAACGTCTAAGGCCAGGCACAAAGTCATGTGCAATCCTGCAGCAATGAAATGCACTCAAGAGCAGGGGTGGAAGGTTTGAGACAGACTCTTTTTCAGAGCCACAGATCTCCCATATTACTGTTTGTGATCAAGCCAGCTGGACCACAGCGTCAATCCCTTGGTATTTTTTCTGCAGTGGTATCCCAAATCTGCAAACTGATATAAATAACATCCTCCGAAAACAGCTCTGGCTCTGCTCTCAGGTTTGCTGCTGTTCTCCAAGCCCCAACACCTGCAGGCAGTTCCTCTGAAATTGCCTAACCTGAAAAACCTGAAATGAATCTAGAAGCCTCAGAGGAAAAGCTACTGTTCCACTGCTCATCGTTTGGCTAAGTGGTAGGCTTTTTTGTTTATTTTTTGTTGTTTTTCCTTCTTTCTTTCCATGCATGTCAATGGTTATTGCATTGAATTCAGGCAGAAATACTTGCTAATTCAGCGTGAGAATAGAGTGTTCTAATGCTACACACCAGGACAGCTTTGGACAAGCCACAGACAAGTAAGCTAAACTTCTCAGATTGGCTATGGCAAAAGAGCAAATAAACACAATAGCATGCCATTCATTTTGTTCCAAAACTGAGGCTTAGATGTTTAACATATAGATTGCTTGCCTCAAAATAGTTTATAGAGCTGCTAGTGAAAAAAGATCTGAATTTGTTTGTTTTATCACAAAATTAATCTTTTCTTTCCCCTCCTTGAAAATCAAGCGTCATTCCTTTCATCCAGATTCTTCACAACACTAGGTCTTATTTGAGTTTTTTCCCTTGTAATTTCTTTCCCTTTTTTTTCCCTCCCCAAAGCATCTTTTCCACTAGCTTCTCTGTTTCATACTGAGCAAAATTTTTTTGGTAGCACAACAGCATTAGGCTTGGAGTTGGGAGGACTTCTTTTTCTTTCTGTCTTTTTTTTTTTTTTAAATTGAAACTGAATGTCTTACAAATTTGGAGATGGAAAGGGAAAACACTCAATTCCAAGTTGCAGTTAAAGTTCAGGTTAATTTGGCATAGGATTCAGTTAGCTTCCTATGCAATGCCCGCTCTGCAGTCTTTGCTGAGTGTTTTCAGTTCAGGGGAAACGAACTGGAGGAAAAGGCAAAAACCATCAGGATGGGTACTGGCCTGCCCAATTTTATGGCAAAACCTCTACTAGAGAAACAACATTTCAATGATCCTAGTGCAAATTTCAAACTACTAGAATAACTGAAGCACAGTATTTTTATATAAGCAATCATAAAGCTGCTACTACCACCAGGCTAGATTCAACCTACATGTGATCCTAGGCAATGTATGTCCCATCAGCCCCTGAGCTATACCATGCCTCTCTGTGAAGCCATTTCCTCTCTCCAGTGGTGATCCATTAGAGCCTAGGAATGGTTCACTGACTGTAGTCTTGCAGAAGCAGAAGAAAACATGCCAAGACTGAATACAGCTGCAGAATCTCTCCTCCTTCACTCTGCTGTACCAAAAGCCCCCAGCTTTTCCCACACTGCAACTCCTGACCTCAGTGATTTGCAGGAGGGAGAGGCCAGAGCTTTAGGACACTGTGATATAATGGAGCCAACTGAAAATGCCAGCCCAAAGTCAAAATACACCCAAGCATTGTCCTGTCACAGCCCTCCTGTGATCCTCAAGAGATGCCCCTGGGCTGGTTTGTACAGAGCTGCTGCTGGGTTTTGCTGCAGCAATAAGGCTGGGCTGGGCTGGGTTTCTCCAGCAAAGCCTTTGTGCTGCTGCAATCTCCCTACTGCCCGGAGCCGTTCTCCTGGCACACTGGTGCCCTTCGGCCCCACAGCACAGCCGTGCCCAAGCTGCCCCTTCATCATGCCAATGCAGTGCCTCCAAAGGACTTGCTGTGGCAGGTTTCTGCTGAGGGAAGGCAGCTTCCCGTCTTACTCTGAGACCACAGAACGAAGGGCTGATTTTACCTTAATTTCCCCCTCCTACCTTCACTGCCTTCCAGCCTGGAAAATAACATCTCATCTCTGTCTGTCACTGTCTGCTTTATTTTCTTCACTCTCTTCATCTGTCTGGTAAGCAGGTTTCCACTTCCCTGTTTATTACTTGTTTCTGAAGCAGGTTCCCTCCTGTGCCCACCTGTTTGCAATAATGCAGCGACTGGCAGGAGGGTGCTGCGGGTTCAGGGCTGTATGTTTGGGTGTGTGTGTGGGGGGGGGGGACAGGGAACACTGAGTCTGAAGGAAATGTACTGTGACATCTTCTAAAAAGTACAGATTTTTGTCTTTTCTGCCTGAGAGTTATTCTTCGTTATACTTCAGTGCCTGCTGTGACCACATACGGGGTGTGCTAAGCCTCTAAAGGGCCCAGGTGCTGAACTGTGAAATACATTCCACCAGGGGCAGCATTTTGGCCTGTGCCTGACTTCCTTACCTATCATTTTTGAATGACCCCTTGCCAGGCTCCCATGCTGCACTTGTTGGAGGCGACAGAAGTCTGCTGGCTGGTGTGCGATAAGGATGCAGATGGCTTTTGTTTTTTAGTCTAGATGCTCTTTCTCCTTAGACTTGTTCTTGAGTGGAAGAGAAGTTTACAGCTTATATCCACTCAGAACGCAACTACAAGCTCTCTCATGCAAGGAATTTTGTTTTAAAAAAAGCCACATACCGTGTTCTCATTAGTCTGATGCTAAAAATGTAGGTGGTGATGTGCTTGCTATCTACGAACATTGTTGCCTCATGCACTAGTTCAAAAATGGCTTGATGAACCAGGATAGCAAAAGTCTGCAAATTATTCTTAAATGCTACTGAGTACCAAAAGAAGAATAAACCCTACAACTTTGTACTTGGCCAGTGCATTGACTTTAAGAGAAATAGTTTTTTTAAAAAAAAAAAGTCATGGGACTGAGAAGTGTGTGATGAATATAAACTTCGGTCTCCATTCTTAACTCATTCTCTTCCACAGGAAGAGAATTTTCTTTTCCATTATTTTTTCAGCGAATAACCTCTCTGCAGCTCATTTCTTCTTCTCTGTTCCAGGAATCCTTGAATATTAATATTTAATTGTGCTACCTTCTGTCTCCCTACTCTGGAGCTCTCCCTATGGTCTTGATTATTCTTGAAATGAAACACTTTAGGTAGCCAGGTCCAGAGCTTATTCCTCGTAGTTTGGCCTGATTCATCCCTGCCCTGCTGTTTGGGCTGTCATGTTGCTAACCTAACGTGGATGCCGCAGTTGCTATCCTGATATGACATCCACCTACCAGCTCCTGGTCGTGATGTTTCTGATTACAAAGGCAACATACAAGCAGGAATCAGACTTGCATACACAAAGCTGAATATATATATATCTATATTCCTATGACAGGGTTTAGTACAGATGATGATGAGAACACGCTGAAAGAGATTAGTACCAATTATGCCTTCTGTTTTCTATCAAAAGATAGAAGTTCTAACTTTATGTTGTAGCATTCAGTTCTTTGTAGAAATATAAAAAAATTTCAATTTAATCAGCTTTCTGAATAGCAAAGAACAATCTGCTGCCCTTAATGGGTAATATCCTCTGCCATCAAGGCTGCCTCTAGAGTTTCACTGTCTTCCATAAAGAACAGTTTTACTGGGTTATCAAGGAAAAGAATGGCTATAACAAAAGATTGATAGCAATTTTTTCTTTAAGCTTGGCAAATTTCTTTCACAGAGTCAAGCACTCATATTAAGTTCATGCACTTTTGCTAAGTTCCTAAAGAAATTTTGGATACCTCATCTCCCCAGCTGCCTGGGACTGCCATTGTCTGTCTGTACAGGTTTACAGGTTTTCTCACAACTCCACCAAATCCAAAGTCATCATTAGCCTCAGTGTGTTTTCTTCCTCCTTCACAATACTCTGGAGTCCTGAGAAGTTGCCTTAATTGCTCACCCACAAAACTGCATGCAGTGACAGAAAAAAATATGCAACTTTTCCTTATGTATCACTTA